AACAGAAACACACACATGCACAAACACATACAAGAGTATAATTATATCCAAACAAAGAAAACAATAATTCCTTAATACCAATATTTCATGTATCATATTTCTTCAATGGTTTTTAATCCTGTTGTGCATGTTTATGTACATATGTATTTATTCATGTATATATTAATTTCTTTCAATCAAGATACACAAAATAAAAAATTTCGCATTCAGTTTAGATGTCCTTTAATTTCATTTTATCTTATCACTTCTATTTCAGTCTGTTTCCTTGCAATTTTTATGGATCATTATCGGTCTTGAAGAAACTGAGCTATTTCCTCTTTAGTTTGCAGTCTGAAATTTGCTCATAGCATCCCCGTGGTTTTGTTCTGCACATCCGTCTGTTCCCTGTATTTGTTATAAATTGGCAGTTTGGTCTAGGAGACTCAATAAGATTGAGGTCCAGTTTCTTTCTTTTTTTTTGCAAATATTCTATAACAGTGGCACAGTACACTTCCTCCTGGAAATGCATGACATCAGGTTCTCCTCTAAATCTGTAATGCTAGCTGCCATGATGATCATTACATAGGTAACACAAATTTGTTAAAAATTTCAAGAGGTGATTTCTCATTCTGTGGCCTCTTCCTATTTTGGTAGCTGGGATAGTTCTGTAAATAGAAATTTCTCCATTATTTGGTTATTCTGGAATATGCTTCATATCAGAAAGGCAGGATTAAGGATTAATTCTTTCCCTCTATTATTGACAAATAAGATATTGGTTCCTTAACATCTCTAAAAGTAGCCATTGAGGTATTTTTAAAAACATTATATGTCATGACTTTAATCACATTGTATTTTTTTCTGTCCACTGCAGCCATTATATTCACTGTCACATGGATAATCCTTTCTTGGCCAGTGGGAGTGTCTTCAGGTTGGCTCTCAAGATTTTTTTGACACAGCTCCAGAACTTTCTAGCTTTCTGATAATTGCTACTGATAATTTTTTTTCCAGAGGTATCTGTGTATTTTCTGACCCAACTCTAAATTATCCATTTCTTCAAAAAGTATTGGTTTCCTTTTAGTTAGAAATGGTGATATTGATAGATCACAATCCAGTGCTAGGAATTCTCATTGCTACTGGATTTACTACATGTTTGGGGTTTCATCAGACATAGTTTGAAAAGGAGTATTTTTAAAACAAATATTTTATGAGTTCATACTGCTGTTTCCATTTCAAAAATAGAGCATCAAGTTTTACTCAAGGCCATTATTTTTTACATTTTTTTCTCCTTTCTCTGACAGGATGGACATTTTTCATATTAAATGATTTCATCATTATTAGCCATTGCTTTATCTGGAACTCATACACAAAAGTCCCAGAATAACAAGACCACCATTGTTATTATAATTACATTGTAATTATGGTCATTGAAAACAATTTAATATTATTTTTCAGTTCTTTTTGTTCTTAGGAATGTGAAGTCAAATTAGTATGATTAAAGTCA